CACCAGGACCCCAGACCTTCTCCAGTTCTCCTCTCCAGACTGTCTAGTCCTCCTCTGGAATAAAAGCACCACTTAGAATGGAATTGAACCCAAAATCTGTGGGACAGGTCTGCTCAGCCCCAAAGCAACAGCACAGGCTGTGCTCAGCACTGCTTTATTCCTGCTAACTCTGGTTAATGGTAACGAGCTGTTGTGACTGATGAGTGTTTGCATTCTGTGGGATTGACTTTCCGAGCTCCACAGCCCCAGGAACTGCTCCCATTGCAGGCAGGTGATCGTGCCCAGTGTGCCAGTCTGCAATCCCACCCTCCGAGCCCCCTCAAACAGCTCAGAGCCACTTCAGCCTCCCTCAGGGAGCTGGATCAGTGAAAGCCCCGGGAAACCCCTCCCGTGTCAGGTGGGAGCAAACAAACACAAAAACCCCATGTCGGGGCAGTCCCTCTGACAGACACTCCAGTGATTTCTGTTTGTTTCTGCTCTGGAATTTTCTTTCCTTCCAGTGGGAGGTGTCCCTGCCTGTGGCAGGGCTGGAACTGGGTTTGTTCTGAGGTCCCTCCCAGCCCAGACCTTCATCTGTCCGTGGTTCTGTCCCCAGTGCAGCCACAGCCCAGAGCGTGGCCCTGCTGGCCACGGGCTTTGCACTGACTTTGTGAGGTCTCCGGGAGCTGAGCCGGGCCAGCTTTGCTGTCTGGGAACTTGTCCTGTCTTTGTTTTCACCAGCAGAGAAGGAAACTTTCCTGCAGGCGATGGCAAATCTGCTCCTCGCTGCGTGCTGCAAACCTGATGGGCTGCAGAGAGCTGCAGAGTTCTGAGCTGAGGGAGAGGGAGTCAAGGCTTCAGCACGCTGGGGTGTGCAGAGAAACAGCTGCCAGGGTGGCAGGGCCTCCAGGAGGGGAGCAGGGTGTGCTGCAGAGGGCACAGGGCAGTGAGAGAGGGCACAGGATGGTGCTGGAGACCTCATGGCCACACACAGCTCTGGAATGCTCAGTTAAGGAAATACAAGCTCAGAGAGGGACAAAAAGGGTTTGGAGGTGACAAAGAGAGCAAGGAATGAGCGTCTGGTGTGGGAAAATGCAGCATTTTGGGGAAGGGGGGTGTCCAGGGATTCAGGCAGGACAGCAGGGAGAGATTCCCCTTGCTCTGCACAAGTTCCCCCTGCAAGGACAAGGTCTAGACACTCACATGGGACAACCTGGGAAGTTTTTTGGAGAGATGGGGGATCTGCACACCCATGAACTCGGTGTCTGTGCAGGAGCAGGTCACAGGAAATGTAATCCAGGGCAATGGATAATCCCCATGCCTGGAAGTGTTGCAGGCCCGGCTGGACAGGGCTGGAGCACCCTGGCACAGTGGAAGGTGCCCGTGTCCATGAAGGGGGCTGGAACTGGACGGGCTCCCATGTCCCTCCAGCCAAACACTCCTTTGAGTCTGTGATTTCTGCTTTTCAACAAATTTTGCTTGGGTAAACATCAAGTCAGCCAAGTCCCTGATGATACTAAATGGTGATACAGCTCCAGGACCAGCTGTAAAATCTGCAGAAAACCCTGGTGCAGAATCCTGGGCAGGAAGGAGTGAATGCTCTGCTCACCCTCAGATTCCTGATGTCCACTGGAGCAAGAACGTTAAACCAGGATTAGACCAGGACGTGTCTGGGAAGGGGCAGAGCCCTTCTGGGGCTGCACTGTTTTAGGGCTGGACCTTTCTGGGGCTGCACTGTTTTGGGGCTGGAGCTTTCTGGGGCTGCACTGTTTTGGGGCTGGAGCTTTCTGGGGCTGGACCTTTCTGGGGCTGCACTGTTTTGGGGCTGGACCTTTCTGGGGCTGCACTGTTTTAGGGCCAGCTTCCCTGTTCTGGTCCGTGGTGACTGCACAACACAGGGGACAGCTCCAGGGCAGGAGTGGGGGAAGGAGTGGGCATGAACTGCTGGCTGAGGGTAGCTCCAGAGGAGAGGGATCTGCCAAAAGGCCCCCAAAGCCCCTCGACCCACGTCCAGAAGAAGAACAGACTGCTCCCATGAAGAGAGGAACCCGATGTCAGGCTGGGGACACTTGCCTTCAAAAAGTGTCCCCCAAAGCCCCAGGGCCACCCTGTCTGGGCCAATGCTGGAGCCAGGACTGGTGATCTCCTTTCCTATCCAATCTCTCTTTCACACTCTCCGCCTCCCTCTTCCATTTTACTTTTTTATTTCTCTCACTGTTACAAAGTAGGAGCCAAACGTGCGTGGATTTCCACGCCAGGCGTGGAGCTGGCCAATAAAACTCGGTGAGCTTTGTTTTTTGGACCCTTCTGGCTTTTGCCATTCTTTTGTGCCCATGGGCACCTGTGACTCCTGGGTGCTCCCTTCTGCACAGGAGTGGGACGTGACACCTGCTACGACTGAGTCACCCAACACTAAAACAACAGATTTCAAAGGAAAAGCAGTTGAGATGAACACACAGTGATGCACTGGGGAGAACACATCAGATGGAAGATGACAGGCTGGTGGCTGACAATTATCTCCCAGGAACAAGCTGTCACTGCTCTGACAATGTTACAACACAGTTCAGTGATCAGCAGTTCCAAAAACAAACCAGATATTAGAAATTCCCTGGCAAGGAGCAGGAAACGTGGCCAGGACAGTGCAGGGCATCTGGAACTGCCACAGTCCTGTGCCTCGAGGGGCAAAACTCTTCTTGTGGAGGGGCCAGAGGTGGCAAAGGGTCAGAAGAGGGTGGGGGAA